AAAAAAAAAAAAAAAAAAAAAAAAAATCAATACAGCATAGTATCACGATATTTTGCGTGGCAATATTTTATTGATATATGGATGCCAAATATTGATCTTTATAATATATATTATTAATTCTTGCAAATACATATTTTAATACAACTTTTGGTGCTAGAATAATAAAATAAATTGCTCTTCAGTCCACTAGATGATCACTGGTACTATTTTACTGTGTGCTGCCTGCATGTCTCTTCCTTCTTTGAGATACTGTGGTTTAATACTGCAGTGTTATCTTAATATTTTGATTTTTGATTAGTTTTATAGCATCGTTAACTTCCATCTGATTGTTTTTACGCTGACTGTAAATTTAATTTTCCTTGCTCCACAGGATACAGTGGCTAAAAAACATCCTGCTTTGACTTCCAGTCATTAAGATCCTCATTTTGCTGCAGTGAAGTGTAAGTGTACCCAGTACAACCTGACTATTGTCCAGTGAGGTAAATTTCTACACCTAAGTGTAGTGTAACAAGCTTTAAAAACAGTTCTCAGTTTCCTATTGCATAGAAAATACAATATACATGCATCATGAGGTAGATGCTGCAACATGTTGATGTGTGGAGTGTAAGACATGAGTACCTGAGGTCCAGACAGCAGAGTGGCCACTAGGCCCATCCCCATGCTCAGTGTCTGGCTCTCTACTGGGTTCTCAAGATTTGGACCAGTGGCCTGATCCAGACCCACACAAGCCCTCTGAAGCAGGGACACCATGAAGTCCACCACCTGGAGAACGGACAAACAGAATCATGGACAATGCAGAAAGAGATTCAGGAGCTCAAATATGTTCAACATAAAAGTTCAACCCTAAGGTGAAGATTGTTGGAGGGTGATTAATGAAATATAGTACTAAAAACTAGAGCTAAATTTGATCAAGTACCAAGACACTTTTAAAAGCCCTTTTGAAAATAACCTATTCAGTCCTTCAAGACATCCGAAGGTGAGATATCTAACTATAATATTATAGCCAGTGAGGTTTATCAGACATTTCCTTATCTGTGAGGGAATGTTTGTCAGCCTTACAATAGCTGCCAGCCCCCCACCCCAACAACCCAACCAGAAATGAAGCAGTCAGGCTATTTTTGTGTGGTGGCATGACTCAATGTGGCCTGCTTCCATTACAATAACTCTCATAGGAACACAGACTGATTTGAAACTGAGATATGCCGGGGAAAAAGCGAAGCAGTCCCAGGAGGATGAGCTTCAGGGTAAATCAGGCCACATTTTGCATGTATCTATGGTCTCAATGTATTGTGTTAAGCTGTGGCTACTACAGTAGGTTGGTATTAAAGTAATAAATATAAAGTATGTGTATGTGTATAGCTGTGATAAAGTTTGGATTACCTGCATTGCATCACAACTCCATGATCTTGTGAAAAACAACACAATAAAACAAAAAAAATACGAGCAGATAACTCAATGTCTTCTTTGGCCCTGCATTATAGTGCCTACAGAGCCTGGGTTTTGGAATTTTGCATTTCTGCTTCTCCTGTTGGGTGCATATCTCTCCACTTACCTGTGAGGTTTTTCTCAGCAGTACAGTATGCTGCAGAGACTCAACCATCACAGCCAACACCTGAAGCAGAGCAAGTCTCTGGCCTCTCTTCGCAGCTGGATCCAACAACTGCTGCTCCACCTCCAGGAGAGTCATGGCCGACATGTCCAGCTCCTGCTCAGCTTTCTTTTCATCATCTGCTTCTTCAGCTGCCCAGCTGGCCAGCTCCTGCAAGAGAGGCAAGTAAATGATGGACTGTTGACTGAGGTTACCTTCTCCACCAAGCACAAACAAGTGAAACACTGTAAAACAGAATACAATCTACACACACTACAACCTCAAAACCAACACTGTTGAAGAGACTTCTCTGCCACAGTCTTCACAACTAAACACAAAAGAAGTATTCATGGAACTGAATTGAATCATGTTTCACTTTTTTTTTTTGACAAAGCTGAACCTCAGGGGCAGAAAAATGTAGCCAAAAGCTGCAGTTCCTCTAATGGCCACTTGAGCTGGCTCCAAGAGGTCCAATCCCCATAGACCCCCATGTTTCAATGCTCAACTTTACAGCAGAAATAAACATGTTTACTGCCTGGTATAAAAAACAGTTTGGTCTCTGTGGCCAGTTTCAACATTCATGACAACTGTACAGGGGATGAATTTTTATATAACTTATCTGTTTAAATGTTATTTAGAGTTAAAGTTATGGATAATAAAGGGCACGGTAGCTTTGAGTGACAGGTGGGTGCTGTCTGTTGACAGACCACAACCACGGCAACAACACAGGCTAGGTAACGTAACCATGGCCTAACCCAAGATACAGAGTATAGATGTAGCTGTAGCTGTCGCTATCTCAGTGTATTTGCGGTTAATGAGAGTTAACTGTAACATTTTGGTAACAAAAAGTCGGATATTCAGTTTTTTCTGGCAACTACATTTTGTTCAAATGGTTTTAAACAGTTAACTATAGCTGTAAATGCACTGTGCTAACTACACTAGCATCTACCATTAGGGTTATCCCCACCCTCTTGTCCAAATATGGTCACTCCTGGCTCCAAAAATGCAAGATGGCGACGGCAAAAATGCTAAACTCTAGGCTTCAGAACAGGAGTCCACAAACCAATGGGTGACATCATAGTGGCTACATTTATTATGTTATACAATCTGTGGTGTACACCTTACCTGCAGCAGGTCCAGAAAGAAGTCTCCAGGCAGATCAGAGTCTTTGAGTTCAGCCAGCAGCTGCATCAGACACTCCAGCCTCCACTGCTCTCCTGACAGCTTCTCATACAGAGCATCGTCCTCATCACTGAGAGACAAGAAAGGAGACGTGAGGGAAGATACTGAGGAATTAAGAGAGGCAACTTATACTAATAATTATAATCACAGCAAAGGCAGGATTAGATAAACAAAGTGTGGCTCCTTTACTGTGGCCGATTGGCCCAAAACAAAGAAACTTATTCTGCATTATGCATTATGTTTTTGTCCTGGGTGGTTCTCTTTCACAAAGATCACTGGTGAAAACATGTCCATTATGTGTTTCTAAGTCTCAGTCACCTGCAGTTCTCTTTGGAGCTGAGTCTGACCCCTCCATCACTCCCCGGGGCGAAGTGGAAGTCTGCTGCTAACTCGCTCCTCTGTCCCTGCAGACCTGAGAGCTGCTTCAGTGCTGACAGGGCTGCAAATGGCTCAGTGTGGCTCAGGTACCACAGCAAAATCTCCTGACAGGGGGCGCTGTGGAGCACAGAGAACACACATGACGCACACTTGAAGTGCCCTGCTTTAGAGCAGATTAACTACAATTCATGTATAGTTACAGCTGACTATTTTCCAAAGTAAACTTTTCTTAAAAGGGTTTCTTACCAAGCATCCTTTTGGCTACAGGCTAAAAGGCAGAGACTACATAGGGATTCATTTATGTTGAATAGTTTGTGAAAGGAAAGTCCGTTGCAGTTGTTATTTCTTAAAGTACGAGACATAAAAACTATAACTAATTACACAGAGAAAATATTACCGTAGGTGGGACACGTTTTGCTTGGTGAAACAGAAGAGCGTGAAGATAACAGGAAGAACGTCTTCTAGTGCTTTGAGGAGAGAAGCTGACGGACTGTTTCCAACCACCCAGATCTGACAGCAACAAAAGACATGAGAGAAAAGACAATGAAACCAAAACACTGTCTGAGACGTAAAATAAGGATTAGAGACAGTGAGAAAAATACAGTTTTCGAAGGACACATCAGTTTTACTGCCCCGACACCTAATAACCAATGACATCCGCATCAATATAACCATTATTATTCAGAAGAGTTCTGACTTAGTTTGTTACTGCAAACACCTGTCTTGTTTACAAAAAACCTCAAGGCTGGAAACGATTAAATATTTTGAATTACTTGCTTTTAAAAAACTAATGTCATCAAGGAATTGTGATCAGCTTATTGTATTTTTACAGAATTCAATGAATATCATTCAGCTACAGTTTCATTATTCATTCAAACCACTTAATGAGGTGGTGTGGGACACATTAGACCACACATCTTTTATAGTATTAATGCTACTGGGTCCTGATGGGTCCTGATTCATTGTATTTCAAATATGTTAATGAACATCAACGTATCTGTATGCATAGAATTAATTAACAATAATTACATAAACCTTATCAAAGTAAAGCAGACACATTCTGTGAGCTATAGTTACATAAATTCTCAGTTGATTCACTTCAGTGTTTTTTAATTACTTTTTTTGGTTTATGTTTGAATGACTCGACTCAATTGGATGGAAATTTGATACGTAATTGAAATAGGTAAGCCTGACAACAGACCAAGTAATTTCTTTGGGTGTGCCTTTGGGTGTCCTCACCTTGTACACATCCGTAATACAACGTGTGAGCTCCCACTCCTCCACAGCAACTTGGGAATGACCTTCATCTGGAAAACACACACACACATGCACCACAGTGCTCAGCCCTGTTGGTATCTGACAAATCATCCACCTGCTGGTTTTGAGACGGGGTGATGATAGCTAAATTTATAAAAACACAACCTGTACATCTTGAGTAGACACAACATGTGCGGCATGTTAGCTCAACCGCCTTTTCGTTGTATATCTTGACTAAATGAATAATGTATTGCTTGTAATAAAAAAAATTAAAGGAATTAAAAAAAATGGCCACATGTGAAAAGTGTTTTTTGCAGAATATTATGACACAGTGAAGCTGACCTTTGACCTTTTGGACATAAAATGTCATCACTTTATCATTTGTCCTATTAGACATTTGTGTTAAGTTTTTTCATAATTAGTGTATGAATTCTTCAGTTACGGCCCAAAACATATTTTGTGAGGCCATGCTAACCATGACCTTTAACCACAAAATTCTAGTCAGTTTAATCTTCAGTCCAAGTGGAAGTTTGTGCCAAATTTAAAGAGACAGACAAGATCACAGTGACCTTGGCCTTTGGCCTTTGAACACCAAAAACTAATCAGTTCATTGTCGAGTCGAAGTAGACATTTGTGCCAAACTTAACGAAATTCTCTTAGGATGTACTTGAGATATTGCTTTCACGAGAATGAGATGGACGCAAGGAGACAGCGACCTTGAGCTTTGACCCTTGACCACCAAAATATAATCAGTTCATCATTGAGTCCAAGTGAACATTTGTGCCAAATTTGAAAAAATTCCCTCATAGTGTTCTTGAGATATTGCGCTCACGGGAATAAGACAGACAAGGTCACAGTGACTTTGATTTTTGACCTATGGCCATCAAAAACAAATCAGTTCATTGTTGAATCCAAGTGGACATTTGAGCCAAATTTAAAGAAATTCCCATGAGGCGTTCTTGAGATATCACATTCACAACCATGGGATGGCCTTTGCCCACAGCTATTGCTGGTGCTGAGGCATAAAAACAGCAGTTTGGGTGACTCATTTTAGCATCTCAAACTGTGCAGGACTGCTGCAACTTACTGAAGTTATTTCAAAATCCAACTAAACTATTATTTCAAAGAGTTAGAAGATGCAACTGTCATTTCTGTGGCCAAACAGAACTCTTTTTGTTTTTATCAACACTAACTCTACTTAGAATGCATCATCTAACACATGGATATGATGGTCATGTTACTGACTGGAAGCGGTGGTGCAGTGGTGGAGAGGTGCAAGCAGAGGAGTCAGCAAGTACTGCTGGGCCACACTGGGCTTCTCCTGCACCATGAGGAGCAGCGACCTGGTGGCCACACGCTGAAACTGTTGGGCTGTCAGCTTGTCCTTGAAGTGCAGGAGGTCAAGCATCTAGACAAAAAATTAAAAAAAAACAAACACACTAACAAATTAATAATTACTGATGCAGTCCAACTTAAAAGCATCAGGGGTCTACAAAAGTACAATAAGTTAAAAGTTGAACAAGAAAGTGTGCCTGTAAACTGTGATGGATGTCTACTACATACTGTTAAGATTGACACATTTAGCATAACCTCATCTGGTTATGGGTTTAGCTAACCTGAGGGCTGTACTATGAAGTAAGATTAGTGGGTTAGCGCACTCGGCCTAAAGCCTGAGATTTCAATGTCACAATGGTGGCTGTCCTTTCAAAGAATATTTCAGAGAAATGACCATTTGTGTATCAATTGCTCACCACTGTTTCCTTAAAGTCATGAAGAAAATGTGTTTTTCACATGCGTCCACGTTGAACGAAGAATCCAAAAAGGCAAACATTCTTCAATAATTGAAGCAAACAGGGAGCACATTTAACAACAGCAGAACTATATTAAAACATCTGTTTACAAACTCACACAACTTGTGCAGTTTAATCTCAGTCTCATTTATCCAGCTGTAGGCTCAGTACTTCCCAAACACATGCAAATTTGCTAAAACGTTACAATATAAAACACATCTGGGTACAAGTAGCATTCTCTGAGTTCTGCCTGAGCAGAGTTCAGTGTTTTAGCAAAAATGCACTTTTGTGAAGTACTGAGCATACAACTGGAGAAATGAGACTTGAATTATACTGAACAAGTTGTACAAGTTTGTAAATAGTTGTTTTAATATAGTTTTGTCCCTGTTTACGTCAATTCATGAAGAATGTGAATGTTTTTTTGGATTCTGCGTTCACCGTGGAGGCATGTGAGAAAAACAAAGTTTTCTTCACGTATTTAAGGAATCACACTGTGAGTAATTGTTATAAAATCACTGTTGCATACATTAAAAGTTCACCATATTATTAATCAGTATGATGTTTACTTGAATATAAAATGCAGTGTAATTCCTTCAAAACATAATATTACAACTTCAAAGTTTTTATACGCAATTCTGCTTTGCTAAAGTTTGTTTATAACTAAACAAATAAAACACCCATTACAAAACTGATTAGTCCATTGGAATTTATTACGACAGATAATATTCAATCAGTAACATTTATTTCACTTTTCTTTGGCCAAAAGATGAAGTGATTTCCACGTCTCCTTCACACCTAAATGCAGTTCTTGAGTAAAACATTTAAATGTGCTGCATCAAGTTAAAGGTTTAAGAGCTGTAGAATGTGCAGCTGGCAAGTTAGAAATAAACAGTAGCATTGAGAGTTCATTGAGTGATGAGATTAATATATTAACTTAGGAGTTTACACAACTGGTAATTTTCTGCCAACACTGCTCTGTTGCATTCATTTGAAGAAACAGAGTTGCTTTTTGCTGTTATAATTTTTTTCATATTCTTCAGAGGCGGGAGTAGGCGGCACGCTATCGATCCATTTTGCGCAGTGGAGGACTTAAATGATACACCAAACAACCCCCTGTATCAGGTGCACATAGAGCCTAAGGAAATGGTGCGCTTCATGGGTTAACAGAGCAAGCTGATAACCACCATTGTGATACCTGTTATCTCTGACTGCAGATTTAGATTTTGTTGCGCCAACTAAGGCAAAGAAAGCCTGGCTCTGTCCAACTTGCTTCAAAGTGCACCCCTCTGGGTTTTAATTTTACAAACTGTTTGATCACCTGACTGCTCATGTTTTTGCCCCAACTGACTTCACTAGCTAGATTTCTCTTGGAGAATTCAGATTTTTTTTTGGTCATGAACATGGTTTCTAATCTGCTTTTTACATGCCCACATGTGCAGGACTTGTGCAAAGTCTGTGTGCATGCGCAAAGACAAAACTACCACTGACAACAGAGCAGCAGGATGAAAGGAAGGATAAATCACATAGTGATGCAACCTCATCTTCAAAATAATTCCATTATTTTAAGTACTATCTGTAAAATTCTGACACATTCTTGCTATGAAAAAAAGCTGTTTCTTCTGTCTGTCTGTCTGTCTGTCTGTCACATACCGAAACAAAAGGTAGGAAACAGCATCTTCTATCATTGATACAATTAAAAGAAGTTAGCCAGAATACAGTCCGCTGCATGTATACACAGACTCACAATTACCTGATGACTGCAGTGTACCTGTGTAACCTGCTATCTCTGAGAAATCTGGTTTCTTTAGGGCATGTTAACTCCCTGACTAGTGCATATTCCAGTGTGTGTACATGTGTGTGTTGAGCTGACCTGATGACAGACTTGTCCGTAGTAGGTGTCTGCTGATGCAGACTGTTGAGGGCAGGTCACCAGAATCTTGGCCACACCGTCACATTTCCTCCAGTCTGACTCGCCCCCTGCAGGACAGACACAGCGCTTCAGTTTGGTCCGGATACATCAAATTTAAATTCTATAAAAAGATTCATTAGGGGCGAACATAGTGTGCTGGAGACAGAGAACTCAGTGCAATGCTGATGTTTTACTTTAGTGCTGTTGTTGTTCAGGTTGAATAGTTAACGCAGTTAATGCATTACATTTAAGTGGATATTTATGTCTCTTCTTATTTCAGTTAGACTGTTGTCCACACTACTTTTCCTTCCTCCCTTCTTCCTTCATTAACTCCTCTCTTACTCACCTGTTCCTCCTTCCAAGATGGCTCTGACTACAGCCTGGACACCGTTAGGCTGCATCAGGCGCTCGGACAGCAGCTGACCACACAGACGCCTCAGCCAGGCAGGAGCTGATCCCAGAGCTGCCCTGCTGTTGGAGCTTCCTCCTGCACCAGACTGGAAGGAGGGACAGTACATATAAAACAAGTCCCCACAGACATGTGAGCCTCACAAACACCTTATTTGGAAATCTGAGGATTGTCTGTTAGTCTTTGTAAACACGCTTGACAGCTAAAGTAAAAGCCAACCCCAGATTCACTCTCGTTCTGTCTTTTGTCTCACTGTATTTGTGTTTTTCGGTGCTATGTCCCTGCCTACTACTTACGGTCTGGCAACTGGTCGCTACCTTTTTATAAAGCCCTGACCTCACCTGAGCGCTGTGGAGGTACACACTCATTAAATCCCCAAACTCAGAAAATAAGAAGAAAACAAGTAAATACAGGTAGAGGGCAGGTCTCTGCAGAAAAATACAAAAATAAATACACCACCACACACTGAGAGTGGGTCATACGTGATGACTGAGAGGAATTATGTCTGTATGAGTCTATGCATCGTTTTTAGGAAAATCCTACATAGTATAGCTTTAAGGGAAACCACCAAAGGGCAACTTCAATAATAGAGAAGCATATTTGTCTTCTCATCAGAACCCAACAGCTATTGGTCTGACAAAGTTAAGCCTCTGGGGGCAACAGACAAAGTTCAGGCTAATCCAGTATAGCCAGCATAAATCTGGGTCAAGACTTCCCTTTCCATGCATCGGCCATTTCAGCTAATCTCAATAAACAGATATCTAAATTAAAAAAATTAAAAAAAGCTAAATTCTTGTAAGATGACAGCCGACGGGCTCTGGATTTTTATTTTAGCCAGTGTGTTCCGGCTCTTTTGCACTTCACATGAACTGCCACTCAAACGTGATTGGTCAGTAGTACTTGGACTACAAACAGAAACCACAATGTTTGCGATACCAAAATCTTGTCCCATTGCCTACAGATGCAGAATCTGTTTATACAGATTATTCTGTTTTATAGCGAAATAGAGTTTTTAAATAATTTTATAAAGCATATTAAACTAAATGTCATGTATCATGGCAACTATTGTTGTATTATTATTGAATTATTTGGACACTTAAACCTGTTGCACTTTTTCAGTTTGACTTTCTTTGTTTAGTGTTTGGACACTGCTAACATCTTACAAAGGGGCAGCAGCTACACACTGTAATTATTTCAAATGTTTCAACTGAAAACCACAGTATTAACACTCCTTTTTCCAGCTGTTTCTCTCACCAAACATAAACATGCAGACCTGTTTGGGTCCACCTTGGAGGATCAACAGCTCCTTGATGACAATCGGCTGGTAGACTTTTCCTAGAAGGCTTTTGAGGGCCTCCTTGCAAGTTCGACATTCCTCCCCACTGAGCTCCTGTATTTCAAAGGTTTTCAAGAAAGAAAATTGATAACTTTTATTTCTCTTGACAACACTCATCAAAAGCAGTTTCGACAGCATTCTATCATATCCAGATGTTTACCTTCTCAACCTCTGTGCCACGTCTCTCTGCCCGGCGTGGCTGGTAGCCAAGCTGGCACAGCGCTGCCATTACATCCCCCAGGTGCCGTGTGAACACAATTGTGGCAAGAGATGACAGCTCTGCAAACTTCAAAAGGACATTCGTGGTTGTAAGAAGGCGGCGCCCCCCTGCTGGCACAGCCCCACCGTGGACAAGTTTTTCCACCATGGCTCCAAACGCTGACCTGCGACCCAGCGGCACACCCACTCCAGGGGCCAAATACGGGCAGAGCCCTAGAGAAACCACGAACTGAAGAGCTGCTCCAACCGTCTTCTGCTGGGTGACGCTGAGGACATCAGGAGGTAAAGGTGGAGCCATTTCAGGGGTGCGTTGTTTAGCTGCAGATGGAGCAGGGGTCTGCTTGAAAAGTTCAAGTTCAGCAGACAGGTGTTGTGCTAAGGTGAGGAGCAGCAGGAGACACTCCTGTACAAAGGCCCATGTGACGTCTTCTGTGTTGCTGGAGAACCAGTCTGCTGCCGCCATCACCTCCTCCCTAAGCCTCCTCACCTCCTCATAGCTGCTTTCGCTCTGAAGCTGCTCCAGGAGAAGGGCTCTGTTGGCCTGCAGCACTGCCAGGAGAGCCTCCTGGTGTGAGGACTGAGCATTGTGTAGAGTCGCCTCTGCAGAACACAGCACACAGAACATCACATTGTGGGTTGTGCATTACCAATTCTGTACAGGATTATGAGGACTGCATGTAGTAGGGCTGCACATTGAATTGAAGTATTAGCAAAATCACAATATGGCCATTTGCAACATCCAAATCACAGGATGCTGCATTTTTTTGATAAAAGTAATATGTATCACAACATACCATTATCTGTGAAACACTGTGGTGCTACAGAGATGCCCTGTCCTAGGAATCATATCCCAGACGTAAGGGAACATCCTTGTTTGGTACAGACCCAAGCAAAAATCACATCATTTTATATATATTTTTTAGTGAAAATCAAAAGCAAAAAATACCATTCCCCCCAAAAAATTGCAACTCATGTCATATTATCTGTCAAAATAATCACAATCTGTGTTCTGGGTTTTTTTTGCCTAGCATTGCAGCCCTAATATGTAGACTGTTTCCCAGTGCTGCTGACACATTGTATCACATTGAATGCATGGTTTAAGTGACACAACAATTTAACAAGCACCATCGGGGACACAGACAAATGTCAGATGAAAATAATAAAGAACATCGAGTGGATCAGAGTGTCTACAGGTATCAGACACTTAAATCTAGTGCTTTTAAGATCTTTTCAAGATCATTTTTACAGAATTTAAGACAGATTTTTGTTGTATTCTTATACAAGCAATCCAAATAAGTACAAATGTCAGAAGTAGATGTGGTCCCATGCACAGGTAGCTCTTATGTAGGAATATGGTTATTAGAGCGAGTGAGATGAATCTATATTTTGCCAACAGGTGAGTGCAAATTTAGTGAAAAGACAGTATCATGTTCAGCGGTAGATTTTACAGATAACATCATTTAACAACATTTTATAACATCACAGACTTAAACCTAGAAGAGCTTTGACTCAATATAAAGAAATTAAAAGATAGGAATAAATGGAGTTAGATGTTTGTCGCTATTAAGACCTTAAGATTTAACATTTAACACTTTTTAATTACTTTTAAGGCCTAATATTAAAAACATGAATAAGACTTCCTAAGGACCTGCAGACACCCTGTCAATGTGTTAGGAATGTGCAGCAGGTCAGCTCATAACTTCGAATACTTAAGTGTACTCAGTTGCTACCTTTCATCTGTAATGTTCACACACAACACCGAGTCACGGCTGGAACTTCATTTTGGGGACTTTGCATATCTGTCTGAAAACACTGACCGATACAGCGATACTAAATAAACGGCTACATGCTTCTGACTTTACACTTTGAAACTGGCAAGGTGACCACCAAACACTTGCTTTTATACTTATACATTTTATTCATGCACCTTGTCATTTGTTTAAGTACGTACAAAATGCTATCCATACCACGCTGTACTTATTAATTACGTATCTCAGAATCGTTAAATGTACTGCTATTGGTAACATCAGTTATCCTCGAGGTGTCAAGCTAAGTTATCCACTTACCGCCAAGAGGTTTTGTAAGAATATTTATCGCTGAGAGGATAGCTGACGTCATCTTGCCTTAACATAACGTAAGACAACCAAGTTTATAGTCATGCACAAGTCTGGAGATGATTTACAGCATTAGTTTTTAATCTGAGCCAACCTAGCCATGCTGCTAAAAACAGCTTCTTCTTCTACTGCTTGTTCTTCTTCTTCTATGGAGTTTATTGGCGGCTGGCAACCAACTTGAAGGTGCATTACCGCCACCTACTGGACTGGAGTGTGGGACAGTAGATTTGCAGACAAACAAAACAAAGCCAAACAAACAAAAAACAAAAAGGGAAATTAAATCCTCTCCATCAGCCTTGTATCTTTTAGATATATGATTAAATGTTTGAATATATTATTTGACTCTACTCCGAGCAGGTTCCCTACACTTAAACATATCTTGGCATTCTCTGCTGCTGTTATCAGTGCCCTCCTTTCCTCCTCATATGCTCTACACTCCAACAGAACATGCTGGACAGATTCAGACTGACCACAGTGATTACATTTGCCATCAGGGTGTTTACCTATTTTATGTAGTGTATTATTCATTCCTCTGTGTCCTATCCTAAGTCGTGTGATGACTGCCTCTTCCCTCCGCCTCCTGCCCATCCTTTTTCCCAACCCAACCTGTTTCTGTATTTTATATAAGTGTCTTCCTGTGTCTTGAATGTCCCAGTGTTCTTGCATGTTTCTTAATTAGTGATTTACCCTCTGCCCTACTTAACAGAATTTCTGCATTTACAGTGTGTGGTTTAAGTGATTGTTTGGCCAGAATATCAACCCCTTCATTTCCTTCTATTCCTACATGGGCAGGAACCCAAATACAGCAGACCATCAGACCCTTCTTGTGCATTCTGTACAGCAGATTGTGTATTTCAGTTATGAGATCTTGTCTACACGACTTCATGGTTTTGATACTTGAAAGTGCTGCCCAGCTGTCTGATGCTATTAGTGCGTTATGATTGTTTTCCACTCCAAACATAATAGCTGAAAGCTCCACTGCATATGATAAATGATCTGTGGTTCTTTTCTTGATATGTACTTTGTGGTGTGGAATGAAAACTGCAGCTCCTGTTCATCCAGTATCAGGGTCCTTTGACCCATCAGTGAAAATCATTGTTTGTCTGAGAAGTGTTGTTCCAGATATGCTGAGCTACCCTCTCCAGGGAGGGTAGCTTACTCCTTTTCTTCAGTTGTTGCTGTATTTCTAGGTTTACTGATGGTTCTACAAATAGCCAGGGAGGAGTATGTGAATATGGGATTGTCAGACTTAATTGTATGACCTAAACCTGCTTGTTCTGCCTTTGTTACCTATCAACTCCTCCATCACACCAGCAATTGAAAATTGCTCACGTAAAGCAGTGTTAGACAGTGTAAGGCAAGCTCATTTGTTATTGAACTACTGTTTGGTTCTACATACCAATTAGCTGCTGAGGCTAAAATTTCAAGCTGCTGTAACACTAACATGCTGTGCAAGTATTAGCTACAAAATAACCAAGACAAATTAAGACAAACCAATTTATTATCAGGTCATTTAGTAGAATGAGCAGTCACCTGGAACCTGCAAAAGAATGAATTAGTGAGTCAGTTGATCAATGGACTTTAAAAAAAAAAAAAAAAAAAAGTGAATTGTGTCTTACCAGAGGGTCTTTAGAAGCCACCCTTGGTTGGAGCTTTAGCAGGACTATGTGGCTTAGAAGTTTTGCTAATGCGTCTGGATACTGGCATGATCTGGGGAACAGGCTCTTCTGGGCTGTAGCGGGTTTGAGCAAACACTGCTCTTCCTCTCTGGTAGCTTGAACGTGAATTGAAGGAGTAGACTGGCTCCAGATCAGACACGTCACTGAAGACCGGCTCAGAGTTTTCGTCACCACCATCATAGCTGTTAGCAGATCCAGAGCGCCAGCTTGGAGCACTGTTGTCATAGCCATACCGTTCATCCCCAGAACTAGCATAGCCACCATAAAACGCATTACCGGCAGCCATGTTGGCACCGCTGTAGTATACTGGAGAGCCACTGTAACTGCCAGCCCCAGCACTGGAAATGGCATCTTGTGGAGCAGGAAGTTCAGCAGCTTTGTCAGAGCTTGGGTTGGATAGACTTGGTTGAGGGAAGCTGCTGCCTGAGTCCGAACTCACCCCCATTCCACTGTACCCATACCCATAAAAAAATGGCAGCCGCATCATGGAGCTTGGGTCAGCATTGTTTGCACTAAATTCTGGAGAGAGAAAAAAAAAGCCAGCTTACTTAGTAACCATTCATATAAAGCTGTTAGTATCAAGCAAAATACAGAGCCTCTTAACAAACAAGTTATTTTAATTTGATGGAGACAACAAATCTTACTCTTTCCCACAGGGCCACAGGTGATACTTCCAATCAGCAGGCATGAAATCCACAAAACCCTGCAAATACATTTCAGTTTTAAAACCAAAGCATTTACAAGTTGAACAAATTTAAGCCTGTAACTTACTTACCTCATTTTGCAATTAAATGATCAGTTCTTGATGGAGTTCCAGTTGATTTGTTACCTGTCACCAGGACACTACACAAATACAAAACAGGTACGTTCTAGTTAGGGGTGTGCTACCTACAGCTCTTCCTAACAACAGCTTGTCTGTAATGTCTTCATGAGCTAAGAGCTGCTTTTAAATGATTCTCAGTGCTGGGGGAACTGATTGCTCAGTGATAACAGCTGGTGGTAAAGGACACAAGGGTGTAGTCAATTGACCTCCTTGTTGAGAGGAAACAACGGATGGACATGAGCATCTTGATGGGTGTCTTTGCCAGAGGGTGTAGAAGATCCAGTACCACCAATTACCCTAAAGCCTCCTACACTCTGTGAGATTTTAACAATCTAGGTTTGGTGAAGCTTCACTGTGCAACATGGATCTGATAAACCTGGGCATTCCATCAAGTTTGATATATGCAGACTGTATGATAACAGTGCCTACTGAATCGCGGGCTATGTTGTACAATGTTTTAGCTTCCCATACTGAATGGACTTTGGCGCCTTTTGCCTCCATGGCAAGCTGCTATCTAGTCTGTTTGTTTCGGTTTAGTGCCAGTGCATTATTTCATGCTGCATTTCAATTGGTTGGTTAGTAGACAAAGGTCATAAGAGCAGTCACACTGTGAGACCACATCCCAAATTTCTGACATTCTGACATTCTGACAAATTTCAGAGCCACAACCATCCCCACATTTCTCTCACACTGGTCTTGGACAGCCCAAAATTGCACAGTGTATACCGGGCTTAAGCCCTAAACTCTGAATCCACACAAACATCACTTGGCATCACCAGTGATTATCCTTAAGTGCTTGATTGAGTGATGGTACCTTGGGGCTGAAAAGCTGTATAAGGAATGAGAGAGCAGAAGTTTTTCATTCCTGGCCAGTAAATTTTGAGGTTCATATTTTACACGTAACATGAGTGTGTCTTTCTGGCTTTCAGAAATGCCCGCCTCAGTCTTTAAGTCCATATGATGAAGAGAGGGACCTTGCTGAGGAACCTTTAAAAAATGATGTTTTAATGCTCATGACACCAACTGTGGGAAATCGATGTCTAAATAGTCAATGCTCTCTGACATTTTAATTAAGCATGATGAAATCATACAGATGTTCACTCTGTGCTTCAGGACAAAACTGTAGAAAATGACACCTACAGTATGTTCTTTCTCTCTTTCTTGGCAGCAAACTCCATCACAAAATCAGTGCATTTAGAAGTTGCCAGAAGTATATGTTGGCATTGTACGTTTCTGCAAACCACAAATCAATTTGTACGTTTTATATGAAAGATACTATATTAATGTTTCCAAAGTGATGTAATATATGAGCTGACTTTGTCATCTGGAGGTGGAGAGGACTGATGGGTGGCTTGACACCTGCAGACCAGTGGTGTAGTGGAGGGTATACACAGGTAGCCTATATGGGAAATACCAACCTCTTTTTTGGCAGTACACCCACCTATTATCAAAAGCCACTGGAATATATAGGAGTGTATACCCACTTCCACCTTGGTAACCTACCTATGTACCTACTAGTACACCCACTTTTAATTTTCAACTAACTACACCTCTTTTAATTATCTACCTCTACACCACTACAGCAGACCACTGTTGGAGACCAACAAACAACAAGACCTGTTGTTTTTCAGAAAGTTCACTGCATTTCCAGTGGCTTTTTTTGGGTGTTTTTAGCAACCTGTTGCCATATTTCCAGAGGGGATAGTGCTACGAAAAGTGGTTGTTTTTTTACAGAAACTTCTGTGCCTTCACAGTGAGGTTTGTGCCACCAAATCAAGTGTTTTAAGCCGAAACACGATCTCTTCCATAACCAAGTGTTTTTGTGCCTAAACCTAACCATACATTATCCACAGCATTGTTGAATCGTAACGTTATCTGCTACAAAATAACATACAAATGTGAAGTATGCATGCTTTGCAGAAACATACTTTGCCAACATTTATTATGACAATGGGGTTTCATCTTTGATACAACAACCTTTTCAATAGATAGACCTGCTAGTACTAAATGCAAAGCACTGAGAGGAGCTTCATCAGTCACTGTTGAATGACATCATATAAACAATCAACTGTTCAGTCACAGCTTGGTATGGCATGGTAATGGCTGGGTCCTCGTGTCACAAAACTCTCCCCATGTTGTGGCATGTTTGAGGGTTCTTAATGGAATCCCTTAAATTTGATTCACAGTTATTTACAACCACCACAGGCCTCCAGTCAAGGGTGAAGGAAACACTTGTAGTCCTTTGAATTTTATATTTCCCCATAAGAAAATCTCAGATCTCAAAATCTCAGATCTCAATCTCAGGAGTGAGGTCTATAATTAACAGAAATAATACAGTTTGTGCATTTCCTCCAAAATCCCAACAGAGGTCACTCTATGGTCGCCATAAAACTGGTAAAAAACTGGGGACAACCACCCATGGCAATCCTGTTGTGTGATGATATAAAATGCTTTACATAACTTAGATGAATAACGAACTATAACTAAATAATATTTCTGTGCTAATGGGAACAAGTATATTCTGGTGGTTGGCACAGAACAGGGCGAAACACACAGGCACAATCCAACAGTTAAGTTAGAATAATTATCACTATTATTATGTATAATATCATATTAAACCATACTAT